TGGGGCCTTACCGTTTTTAAGGCGCTGGAGAGCCATTCTAATCTCGCTCAGACTGACGTCCGGGATATCTTCGGAATAATGTCGGATAAGACTCGCTCTTGGATCGTTACTCACACTTGCGTGCGGCTCCAACGATGACGTGTACAGCTGCCCATAGAACCTCTCAATCTCACTCAAAATCTCAGGTGCCCCGGAAACGATGCTGCCACATTCTGTCTTCAGCTTTGACAGTTGGCGCTTTCTGGCAGACAGATCTCTGGCAAAGACTTTGGAGCCTTGGTTCCGCTCGATCGCTTCTTCAATACGAGCTGTATTGAAGTTGCGTAAGTCCCGCCGCATGCATTTGGAGATCTGTCTGTTCAGTTGCCTGTATGCTGTTAAATCTGTTGAAGAATGTAGCTTCATCTCCCGTCTAACAGCCATGAGATTAAGAGTGTGATCAGAGAGTTTTTGTGTTATTCTGCGGCGGGTCTTGCAGAACTTAGCTCCGACCGCATGGACAGTTTCCACGAGCTTGTCATTCAAATCGTCCACTTCATTGCAGTCTTCTAGGCACTGAAAACGGTTTTGTAACTCGAGCTGAAAGGTTTCGGGACTTTGGATTAGAGCACGAGGGGGACGGAGCGTTGACTTCATTAGACGAAACCTCTCCAACTTAACGTTTAGGTTCAGTGTGCCTCTAACCATTCGGTGATCGCTGCCGGTTTTCACCCTCGCGATCACTGAGACATCACTGAACAGTTGTCGTCTGGTCGTCATAATGAAGTCAATCTCATTTTTTGTCGAACCGTCGGGGCTCGACCAGGTCCACTTTCTGTGGGGCCGCTTCTGGAAGAAAGAGTTCATCATAAAGAGTCCCTCTTTCTCCATAAAGTCAGCCAACTGCTGGCCCCTTGGGTTCCGTTGCCCTATTCCAAATTTCCCTACTTTCAGCTCACCGTTCTCTCTTGTGCCTAGTTTTGCATTGAAGTCTCCCATTAACACCGTATATTGGGTTTTGGAGGAATGCATGGCTCTAGAGATATGTGCCGAGGTTGGTGCGTAAACCTGTATGACCTTCAGCGAATACCGTTTGGTGATTCTGAGTATAAGGTACGCAACCCTCGTCGACACACTCTCAATCTTTACAACGTTGTTAACGAGAGACTTGTGGACGATAAATCCGACACCTCCTTGGGACAGATGGTCGCCCTCCCGGTAATAGAGCAAGTTGCCGGATTCGAGGATTACCGTGTCCTCCCCCTCTCTTCGGACTTCGGATAATCCTATAATATGCCAGCGTAACTTGTCTATCTCTTCTTCCAGCTCCACAATCTTCTCGTCAGTCCTCAGGGTGCGTGCGTTGTATGTTGCCAGGTCGAGTCGTCGTAGGTGGCAACCGAACCTCCACCGGAGATTCTTAGCACCCCCTGCCCCGCCGTTACCATGATCGCCACCGTAGCCAGGAATAGCGGGGCCGCCGGGGACTGGGCGTATATATATATATATATATATATATATATATATATATATATATATATATAAATATTATATATTATGAAAAAATATTTAATTCAATATAATATATTTTTAATGTTACTTATATGCATACCAACACATTACAATTTAATAATTATGGAGTGAAATATTGATTCATTGTTCATTCATTGATTCTCACAATGAATCAGTTATATAGAACCCCAAACATGAGCAACATAAAAATTAAACCAGAGTAAGTAACTTGCCTAACTGCATTAAATAATACATGTTTAGTTGCGATTTCAGAGTAAATATTATTATAAATTATCCTTGCGTTTATGTTGCTCAGGGATAATGTAGCTTAGGGGCTTCTTTTCGGCTATCATTTATTTTGAAAAAACCCCCAGCGAAGCGGGCACGTGTCAGCTAGTAGATCCTATAAAGGTTTCTTTTTTCCTTTTGAGGTCGGAACCCTAAAAAGGACAAACTGGGATTATTGTTGTATGTGTAGTTTTTTTTCGTTCACTCTGAGAAGAGTGAAGCGCTGTATAAGTATATGACAGCGGCCGCGATTGCCCTAACGTCCATCATCATCTAGCTACCAACACAGAATGAAACACGCCAACGTAATTTTCGTGGTGCCGTTCACCACCACGAAAATCTGCCGAGTGCGCTCGTCAAGCGCGCTCGGCCAACGTGTACTGGAGCCACAAAGATGTTTTAGGCCGGCCACATACATACGGAATTCCGTTTCGAGATTCCGTTTCGATATTCCGATTCGGAATCCCGAACGCAGCAAGTCCATATAAAATCTATGACCCGCCACACACGTACGGTAGTTTTCCGTTCGATATTTTGCGGCCAAAACGGGATTCCGTTTGTGTGTGGTCGACCGTTCGGTATTCCGAAACGGAATCTCGAAACGGAATTCCGTATGTATGTGGCGGCCCTTATAGGTCCAGATACCGTGTACGCGCGCCTAAAACGCTTCCATTTCAAAGGCGCCAATATTGGCGTATTCGTTCGATCGTTCCGCCATTACGCCAGCGACGTTCGCTGTGAACATATTATGTCACGCACCGGTGTTTTTAATTTCGCAAAATGACTATTTGTTCTGTGAAATCATTTAAAAATTACTCTTGGAAAAAGGATAAGAACATCACTTTTTATAAGTAACTATACAATTTTATGGTGTATTTCTTTGTAAAAGAATATGAAAGCTAAATGTCAATACAAGAAATAATACTGCGCAATAATATTCGAGTGTTGCCTAGTCTATGAAATGTTTTTACCATTTTTTACATCTTTGTGGAGCCATTAGATGGTTTCGGCGCCATGGCGGCGCGGTAGTTAGGCGTTCTGTGCACTCGAGGCACAGCTCGAGGTCTTGTGCAATATTTTAAAACGCAACACAGTCTGATAAAATAAATACCTAATACTCTTCGCTAAACGCAAGGGTTTGTGTACAATAGGAAGTCTGCTTGCCGAAGTAATAACGTAATTATATTATATACTCATATCCAAAGAGACTTGTTGGTCTAGTGGTTGTAAACGCGACTGCTGATGAGGTCCCGGATTAGAATCCCGAGTCAGGCCAAAAAATCATTTATTGAGTTCTTGCGTCAAACAATTCTCAGTAGACGGTGTCTCAACCCTGTGCCCCGGAAAGCACGTAAAACCGTTGGTTCAGCGCCTGATCGCTGTCCGGTCGTGTCGTCGCATGGGACTATGAGAGTGAGGGAATAGAGAGCGTACCTGGGCTTGCATATACACTCGGACACCATAACCCTGGCAGATGGCTAGTCTCCTTTGAGACTGGCCGCCGCGACCAAAATTTGGGGAACATTTATTATCCAAAGAGAGATAGTATGTGTTATTAAAACATTATGTTTACGGCTATACGAATATAGTATGTTATTAAAATGTTTTATTGTTTATTTTAATGTTTTATTCTCCTAATAAATAATGATCTTTGCAAGCTGTATACAGGGTAATTTTTAATTTACTGAAGACCTTTTGGGAATATGTTATTTACATCATAACAACAACATCTGTAAGAAAATAAATATATTTCTAAAATTTTTATTTTCATACAAATATAAAAATATTGGACCTTCTAAACGGTAATAGTCCTGGTGTCGGAGGGTGGAACGGTGTAAGAGGCGGCGCTTACTCATTTGAACTTGACCTAATTACTATATACGATAGAAGTTAAATTTTATAGCAAATAAATATTACAATTCTTATTTTTAGTGTACGAAATCGAAAGGATATTATATTCTTTCCAGTAAATTGCTTTGTAATAAATAGCGCCATCTACAACGTTCTATAATTCTAGTCATTTTACCGAATCAAAATCGATGGACTCTCAAGGTGGTCAGTGCGATAGACGCTAGATGGCACACACACAAAGACCTGATTTTTGCATTTGCTTTACTGAATAATTTTCTGAAAATTCAGAAAATTTTAAGATTTTATTTTATCTTTTATCTGGGGCGCCTTGTCATTGCCTATATTTGCAGCATTTAATTAGCACTTAATTTCTTGCTATTATTATTTATCGTATATCTAATAACTTCATTGCGTTGCTAGCGATACGTTTTGCCAGCAACGCAAATTTCAATGGTTCGTTGCGGCGAAAATTTTGGAGCAACTAATTTTTAAACTTAGTACTTAATTAGCACCTAAAAAGCCCCTAATTTGGGCTTTTTCTAAAAGCAATTTTGATTCTATTCTGATTTTCAGAAAACCATAATCTTGCATCTGTTTTGTTTCTGAATAACTACTTTATTTTTATTAAGGGCGCCTTATCATTGCGCATACTTGCAGCACCTAATTAGCACTTAATTCCTGGCTATTAATATTTATCGTATATCTAATAACGTAATTGCGTTGCTAGCGATACGTTTTGCCAGCAACGCAAATTTCAATCGATCGTTGCGGTGAAAATTTTAGAGCACCTAATTTTTAAACTTGGTACTTAATTAGCACCTAAAAAGCCCCTAATTTGGACTTTTTCTGAAAGCAAGTTTGATTCAATTTTGATTTTCAGGAAATCTGAATTTTGCATCTGCTATGTTCTGAATAACGACTTTATTTTTATTAGGGGTGCCTTGTTACTGCGTATACTTGCAGCACCTAATTAGCACTTAATTCCTTGCTATTAATATTTATGGTATATCTAATAACTTTATTGCGTTGCTAGCGAGACGTTTTGCTGGCAACGCAAATTTCAATCGTTCCTTGCGGTGAAAATTTTAGAGCACTTAATTTTTAAACTTGGCACCTAATTAGCACTTAAAAAGCCCCTAATTTTGGATTTTTCCAAATGCAAATTCCCGATTTTGCGTTGCTAGCGATACACAGCTCTATACAAGTCAATACATTACTGCGAAGACGGTTGTCGCGTCAAAACCGTGTTTATAGTGGATAAGCACGGGCGACACACGGTCATGTGAAAAGGCACTTACCTATGATTTATAAAAGTCACCTTACAATACCGAAAACTTAAAAAAAATAATTAAATATTTCGTTATACTCACCCTTATCCTGTAAGCCGTCAGTTTCTCTGGAACGAAGTTCTTCAAAACCACTTGATTCATAATCTGTGACAAAATAAAAGGTATGGTCAGAACAGTACATTACGAACTGAACCGTGTGAAGAGCGCGTGCACTAACTTAATACGTTTTAATAGTCGGTTACTTAAGTTCCGTGTATCGTACATTATTTTATACTACAAGTGTCTGTTTAGTTTTTAATTTTTCTTATTGAAAAATCAAAAACTAAATCATTATAAAGACAAAAATATTAGATTGCTCAAATTCAAGAAAAATATTATTTGAAATCAAAATCAACAACAAGTGTTCATTTTGAGAATTCTAGATTTAAAATAGCAACACCATGTCCGAATGAAGAAGTTTTGTTAGTAAATACAGAGAATCAAAAAATTTCAGCACAAGAATTACAACATCAATCTTAAGGTGACACTAGTCGACATTATTTCCATAGAAATTTCGGAGGGGTTTTACTCCGCTGTTTGACAGTGTACATCCAAAATTAAACATGATATCGTTTTGTCTCATTATTAAATTTGTCTGTACGGAAACAGAATAGTAAAATAAAATGTTATTAAAAAGTTACAAGCTACCAAAGATTCGTTTTTATTGCCAATTTTAACACAACTTTGGGCGTAAATTAGTAATAAAAGAAGTGTTAAATTTCCAAAACAAAGTCGGTACCGACACAGGTCAATTATCGAAGAACTCAATACATTTTATTTGTAATTGATTAATGCAGTGGTTTTTTCATAAAACCCCTTCTTCCAAAGGCCTTTTCGTATTTTTTTACGCGCGCATGTTACTATGAATTATCGTGCATCTCACTGAATAATGTCTCCCCCGGTGCGGTGCGGGAGGACGATGCTTACACACACATGCACAGGCGGTGACGCGCGCTTATAAGTATTCGAGTTTTATTCGAAACGAAAAGTTTTGCTATTTTGTAATTTGGACGCCAAAGACAAAAGACGGCATGGAAATTGATATAATTGAAAGAGATGATGCGTTTTGGACGACAGACAATATTTTAAAATTTTCGACTGTAATATAATATAATTATAAAAGTAAAAAAAGTAAAGTCTATATTCGATTACTATATAAAATTGCAACAATTTCATTGGTGCCGACGGGGATCGAACCCGGGTTGCTCGCGTAATGTGATACTTACAGCGAGCACTAACCATCTGAGCTACCACGGCTCTCAATGCAAGTGTTATAAATAAATAAAGAATTACAAAACAGTTTAATTATTTATTAGACGACTTTTGCGGCGGAAAAACAAAGTATATTATGTGGAATTTTCATAGGTACCTACTGTTATTACCTAGATACCTACAATCTACAATACAACAAAATGTCACAAAACCTCGCCGCGTCGTGGCCACAAAATTGTAAACTTTAGGTAGGTACGTCAGTACTAAGAAAACAATCTTGATGGGTCACTTGTCTTGATAAAAACCTGTGCTTACGTTTAGTGATATTGAGTATATATAAAAAAAGCCAGGTAAGTAAGTATTTTTGAAAACAATTTATAGGTAGGCAGAGCAATTACGATTATTATCTAAATATTATAAATGCGAAAGTTTGGATATTTGGATGGACGGATGGATGGATGTATGTTACTCAATCACGCCAGAACGGCTGAAGGGATCTGGATGATATTTTGCTCAGAGATAGGCTATAGTCCGGAATTTTTTTTTTCAAAAAAACGTTACCCCACACTAGGATTTTCTCCTGTATCGTGGAGGCAGTTTACAAACATCCAGACCCGGAACAATTATTTGTAGACCATACAAATACTTGTTCGATTGATTCGAACCCGCGGCTCCCAGTACAACAATTCATTGCTAAGCCACTGCGCCACGGAGCTGCCAAATATCATATATCATACCGTTTATTCAGGTATTTCGTTGCCGTGGGATAATTATCGAGTTACACACGTTCGAAGCCGAACTCTTGAGTGATTGCTGCATGACCACTCGGGGAAAACTAAACATAATAAAATAAGCAATCTATATTAGGTATATAGAGCCACAGAGGTATACCTAATAATTTCGCGGTTTCACCCGCGTCATCACGTGTCCGAGATGCGTGGCATGACATGACACCTAGTTCAAGCATTTTATAATTGCAATCAAATATTTTATTTTATTGTAATGTATGGAAAAATTGTCATGATTAATGGAGTACTTTTATTTTATCTGTCGGCATATTATGCGCGGTTTTTTCCAGTTTTAAAGAAAAACGTACACGATTCATGAAAAGTGTGTAGGCAAGAAATGATTCTTGATAAATTTGCTATCAACCTCTTATACTTATTAATTAATTAAATTTAAACTTTCAAAATACCATAGCAACGTGAAATGAAAGAGTTCAGAAATAAAGATGTAACTAATCATTGCTACGCTCACCCGGGAGATAGATAAAAGTACTCAATTAATTTTGAATTTATTTTAGCTACTAGCTGTACCCCGCGACTTCGTCCGCGTTTAGTTTAGGGCGTTAATATTGTTGCAAAGACACCTAATAATTTTTCTAAAATTTAAGCAGGCTAAGTTACTTCTTATAACATGAGCTATCTACTAGTGAAAGTCCCGCCCAAGTCGGTCCAGCCGTTTTGGAAATTAACCGCAACAAACAGACTGACAGACATACAAAAATGTTAAAAATTGTGTTAATGTTATAAGTACCGTATACAGTTTCATACGCAATTAGTAAAAAGCTGTTATTTTGACATTACAAACAGACACTTCAATTTTATTTATTTGTGTATATATAGATAACGATTGAACTAACGGCTAACCTAACCTCGCTCATAGAAGCTTTCAATAGTGGCTTCTCAGTTCGCACCGGGCTAGGGGTTATGCGATGTTTGCGCGTCAAGCCAAGTAGGTATTGAATTATTTTAATTTTATATTATCTCTTAAACTATGTACTATATAAACATGGTATAAAGAACGAAGTTTATCTTCATAAAATTGTCTTGATAATGAAGTAACTTTCGTTCGTAAGGTGCCTAATAATTAAATTTTCATTTTTTTTGTCACAAAACGCCTAATTGTGGCTTATATATAAGAAATAGACATATGGTATCGCGGACTTTTTTTAGACGGAGTAAAGATCTATATTTTTCTAGAACATTGTATTTACGTATCCCGAACCATAACAGCGCTTTTTCTTCTGAGGCTAGCTGAGATATATAGCCTAATGCTGTATAGCCTATACTATTCAACATGAATCTGGCTATAATATCCAAAAAAAGATTTTTCAAATCGGCCTGGTAGTTCCAGAGATTAGCACACAAACAAAAACCCTCTTCTGCTTTATTATATTAGTATAGATGTTGCATCGTGTTCGTGTAACTTCGTTTTTATTCTAACGGTTCGGAACACCGTACGAACAAGACATGCGTGAATACTAGTGTCGATATGCTCATCACTGATACTATCTCTGTCGGGCACGATGCCAGGTGAGACAGCGTGCTTTTTGGCCGCGCCCACCAGCGAGTTCGAGCCCGCGACTTGTGCCACCTTAAGATTTAATTAAACGGGACCAAAGGTGCAACGAGACTCGATTACAAAAGTTTTGTATGATTCAGATGTCGGATTATATGTAAATGATTAAAAATACAGTTCAAGCTAAAAATGTACAAAAAATTTAAATGACTTTGTCAAGTATTTTTTTTATATTTCTTGATCAAATGATTTAATGTTTTGTTTGTAATTCAAAATATCCTAATCGATGCGATGTTACTAATTAAAGTTCTATTGTTGTGTATTTATTATTGTGTTAATAAATGTTAAAAAAAAAACATTATAAAAATATTATAAATTTTATGCGTGACTTAAGTAAAAAATACTGTACAATAATTGGTTAGTTAACTAACCAATTATTAAAACAAACAAACGCAAACTTAAGTTCAGCATGAGCGTGACTTAAACGTGGTTTTAAGTCACCGTGTACTATAAAAATCATTCAAGGTGTCTCAGACTGCGTTGGTTCAATTTAGGTTTTTCCATTCTATCTACATACACGCTAATATTACAAAGACGATAGTATTGAGAATAGATTAATATAAAATATTACTTATTAAAAGTCATCTTTTACTTTTACCGTTGGTTAGGACAAAACCCCTGTCGTGGAAAGAACCAACAAGAAACTTAGTAGGCCAATTTTTTAAGTTACCTCATTACAATGGAATTGACACACATTACAGCATGTGACAGTGATTCGGAAAGTACGTAGGCGGTCCCATAATGAATTGGCCTAACTATGAACCAATGAAGGAAATGAAACGAAACCAATTTTATTTTTCAATATAATCACCATGAATACTAACACACTTCTGACATCTGTGAATCAACATCTCTAAACCTTTATAAAAATAATCACATTTTTTATCCTCAAAATGACTGAAGACAGCCGCCTGCAACTCTTCATCGCTTGAAAATTTTCTTCCTCTTAAGTCCCGCTTTAAATTTGGAAATAAATAATAGTCGGACGGGGCCATGTCTGGACTGTAAGGTGGATATTGAACTTCTGTGAACCCGCATTGACGAACTGCATCCTTCGAAACACCAGCGGTATGAACAGGGGCGTTGTCATGGAGCAACAGGCACCTTTAGACAGCTTGCCTCTTCGTTTTTCCTTTATCTTGTCTCGTAATTTATATATTAAAGAAGCATAATATTCGCCGTTCACGACTGTATTACGTTCTTTAAAATCCACCATCAAAATGCCTTAAAAATCCCAAAATATTGTGCACATCAGTTTTTTAGTCGATTGTTGCACCTTTGCCTTTCTAGGGGGCTTTTCACCCTTATAACGCCATTCCATTGACTCGCGCTTGCTTTGTGGATCATAATACAAGATCATAGTTTCATCACCAGTCACTAGCCGCTCGATCACAGTCTTTGGATTTTCGCCACAAAGATCCAAAAACTCCGAAGCGCAGCGCACTCTTTCCTGTCTCTGTACCGCTGAAAGAAGTTTCGGTACCCATCTTGCACTCACTTTTTTCATGTGAAGATGTTCATGGATCGCGCGA